GAGAAGAATTCTAAGAAGAAAGTAAACCTACAGACATCGGTCTTGTTTAACAAAATCTGCCTACAAGAAAATCTGTCACCAAAGTATACCAATATATATATATATATATGTCACACAGTGTTTTTATCTTTTTTTTGACAGCTGCCTGGGGCTACCATCGACAGGGGTCGTGCCAGGCGGGACTCTCTGCAGTCATTTCTAAGGTAACAGAAAAAAAAAGAAAAACTACAAAGACTTTCTAATTAAGAATTCTTAGAATACATAAAGAATACGGTTGTTTGGAATAAAAGAAAACTTTTAGAACGTTTTTTTTTATATAATACGAATTTAACAGTCCTTAATATTATTCATTTAAAACCTGTGAATATAAGTTTAATACTTTCAAGCTAATTTTTCAAATTCTGTATCATCGAAATTTTAAACTTAAAAAAAAATATTTATCTGCAAAGTCAATAGCGATATTGAAAACATATTGGTAATGCTTAACTGGAAATGCTCTTAATTTAAGTATGAGGAGAGAAAAACGAGATCAACAACGATTCAGAGGAAGTGTGGGTTTAAAGTTTTCCTAATATTTTCCCTTGTACCAAATTCATTTAACCACTCAAACAAGGCATGGATAATATTTAATTTCATTGAATTTATTACTTAGATAGGCAAGTTATTTTTGAAATGACTTGAAAAATGTAAACTAATCTATGTCTTTAAATGTTCCCTTTATTACTTTTGAAATTAAGTATTCGTATTATTACTGTCTTTAGAATGGTAGGTGGCTTTACATAGGAGCAGTAGGCAGCTGGTACTGGCAGGGTAAGTCATTTTTTTAATCACTAAAAAATTCGGAGTTTAAATTTGTTGGCATAATTAAGTAAAAGGTTACTTTCTATGTATAACTAATGTGAATTTTACTTCCGTTTAAAATTTGAAGCTGTGAATGTGTGAGCTAAGGTCTAATGACAATAACTTACTTGTCAACCACAACCAGTTCTTGCCTAATTATGAGTAGTTATAATGTCACTCTGGAGACAGAAGTGTGACGCCATACGTAATTAATATGCAAATGATATGTATATTAGTAATTAATGTATAATTAATGGTCTATGAATTACAGGTTAATTAATTAATTGGGTGTCTAATATGCAAGTTAAGTTAATTAATAGACAAATTGGAAGCATTTGAATGTGACATTTTAGCAATCAAATCAAATAATAATCGCATTCATGAATACACTCTAGAGGTTACTAACTTTGAAGTTTTCTGCAATCTTGGGTCAAAATTAAAGAGCCAGTGTCCAAAGATAAAATGAAACACAATCTCGCATTTAGTGTAAAAGACCCATTTGGTGTTTTTTCTGAGTTTTGTCTTATCAAAAGTAATAAGAAAATGTCGTTTATTTTTGCATATTCTTAAATTTTATTATAGGTTTTCTTTTGTATAATTCTTCACAGCCAGTGGCTCTAATTTAGTTATTTGAATATGTGACCTTATAGATGTTACTCAGAATTGTGGTTAATTATATTTACAATTCACAGTCATTAATGAGGTTTAGCGATCTGAAGTTATTTCCAATGCCTAACGTGACATATAAAGATATCTCATCTCAAAAATCAAACACATTCCTAAGCAACAACGGGTTCTATTCTCCAAATACATGATATTGAACAAAATTAAAATTAAAATTTGTGTAATTTTATCCTCACAGGTCAAGTGTTCTCCCAAGACCTTTTAGCCAAACAATACTTATACTCCACATCGGAGGCACCCCAGTCTGAAGACGACAGTTACTTAGGTTAGTTAAATGTTGCAATTGATGGCAATGTTAAACATAGTTATTTTTAAAATAAACCATGTCCTTTGTGATTAGAATACTCACAGAAAGTTACTGTGACACATATTTGTTTAGAATGTTTCGTACTATAAACTACTTAAAAAAAGAGATATTCAAGTTTTAGACCTAACTAGAAATATCTTGCTTGTTTCAAAGATAATGTACAAAACAGTTGCATTTCAAATATGCAATACACTGTTAGTGTTACTTAATACTTTTTCAATATTGTAAAAATTAAATAGCTTTTATTTTTTTTATTGAGTATTTATGTCTAGTTGCAATGAAATGTTAGACAATTAGGCTACATTGACAAATTTATATGATTTTTTTAAACCATTTCCACACGGATCAAAGACCATGTCATCGCGTTTGTTGATTCGTATTCAAAATGTTATTTAACTACTATTTTTGAATTTATATCATTACGTTTGGTATAAGACTATAGATTATAATTCAAATTTTAGTATTATACATCATTTAATTGCTTATTTTAAAAGTAAATTTAAAAAAAACACACCTAAACATCGATTTTTGTGTGTCACATGGTATGCTGAATGCAGCACTGATTAAAATTAGATATTTTATGCCCAAATACAAATATATAGTTTTGTATGAATTAGGAACTTAATTTATCGATACTGACAAGCTAGAACATAAAATAAGAACTTCATATTTTTTTTATTCGCTGAGATATCGCTCATGTACCGAATTAAATGCAGTGGTCCCGCTCACTTTTTCCATTTTTGGAAACTGTCCCTTATATATGCGTACTTCTTTATATGACATGTGAATATCCAATCGAAAGTTCGGAATGTCTCCCTAGTGACTTTCTCAGCCATTTTCAAATACAATGGCGTTGATTCTTTCTTTCGATAAAAGACGGCATAGAGGTAGGTCGAGTCTTTTTACTCTGCTCGAAAATTCATATTTTTTAGACCCAAATACAGCTTAGTTACTAAAATTGATAAATTACAATTGAGTTCTATGGTATCGATATAGTAATTTATGATTTTTTGGGTTCTTCAACTGCATATATAAAACATTAAAAAAATTATTTTGTTTCACATCCTCCACGTGCAAAATTTGTTAAGATTTAGCAAGCTACAACAAGCAGCAACAAAGTAAAAAAGTCGGAACTAGAAGAGATAATTGTTTGGTTGACTTCTTTATTTACTGTTTGTTTGATTTTTTTTTATATTTTGCACAAAGCTACACGAGGGGTATCTGCGTCAGCCATCCCTAATTTAGCAGTCGAGAGGGAAGGCAGCTAGTCATCACCACCTACTCTTGGGCTTCTCTTTTACCAACGAATAGTGAGATTGATTATAACATTATAATGCCCCCACACCTGAAAAGGCGAGCATGTTTGGTGGGACGATGATTCGAACCCGCGACCCTCACTTTGGGAGTCGAGCATCCTAACCATCTGGCCATTCCGGGCCGATCTTTATTTACTGTTTTACGTTTTAAGAAAAATAAGTTTAGGAAGTTATTTGTAAATAGTAATAATCGATATACATGTATAATAATTGAAATATGACTGTATTTTACACAGCCAAGACAGGTCACTTTGTAGAGACTAAAGGTCAGTTATATTATTGGATACAGTAATATGAGTGCACATATGCCACGTCATTGCAACTTCAGTATTGTTAGCCAGGCATAGCTGAAAGATCAATATAATAAAATTAATAAATATACATTAATGTATAATGTTATGAGATTTAAACTATCTAACTTATGTTTTGGTGTTATAATTTGTAGTCATTCTAAAACGAAAAAGGCATAATTTTTATTTATTTCCTAATATTTTATGGTGGTTACGAGATCTGTCAAATCCACCGAACCTGTACTGATATTATTAGTGAAAATAACTGACAAAATATAAAGTTTTTTCTTAAGAAATGTTTGATAACAATCTGGACATTATAAGGAAATTTGAACATTTTCTGATGAATAAAAGTATATTTACTAATAAAATAAAAATTACTTTGCATGTTGGATAGGCAACATGCGAAAAGAAAAAAAGGCATGAGAAAAACACTGCTTTAGAAAAAATCTAAATTAAATATCTTATTTTTCAAAAACTACATACTTATAGGACCTTAAATGAATTTAAGAGTTGCATACATACATACTTACATTGTAAGTAGGTTATAGTCAAAGAATTAATTTGAAATCTGAAATTAAGCTATTATTAGCTCATTGGTGGGCCAGCGCTAAAAATACTGGGGTCGATTCCCCGTGATGGACAGAGTACAGATGGCCCATTGTGTAGCTTTACATTGAGAACACAACAACAGACAGCTATTATTATCACTTACTTTCTAAATGCTTTTATCATTTTCAATCACCATTTTCAACTAGTTGCAATAGTATGACAGCTGAGCCGCGTTGTAAACATAATAGATTTTCACTTTATAAAGTTATACAGGTTTGTGACTTAAAGCTAATCATGAGATTCGATGACGAGGAACCCACTTCGAGACTAATAATGGTTGGAGACGGCTTGAATGGGTAATGAAGAAAAACTTTAATTAAGTTATTATTACTACTACTACTACGTACTACCTACTACTACTACTACTACTATAGTTATTAGTTAGTTAGTTAGTTAGTACGTAGTACTACTACGTAACTAAC